GTTCATGTGAATTCTTGGAACAAACAATAGATGCTAAATGATTGCATTTCCAATTTGCGGGGTCATTAGATAAAAAGTATGAGACTGATGTTGCGTCTTGGTTCTGAACTGGGCTTCTGGACAGGGTCCTCTTCTTTGTATTATCAACCGTCTCTTCTTTCAACAAACCTGTGTACATCCCGATCAAATCCTGCCAATTATCGGTACCCGATTCCTTTTCTTGCATGCCAACCGACCTAAGCTTGTCCGGAGTCACTGGTGTCCAGGAATTATTCCTGGGAGGAAATGAGGTTCCATGAGTTGCTGGTTTCCAATCGTTTGCTCTTTGGACAATTCCATTCGCCCCCTCTGTGGTATCCGCATTTCCTCCAGCTGTTGCAGTCAAGGAATCCTGATTACACACAGTCCCACTTTCACGTGGAATAGGCATTCCACGAGCCACAAAATTCCAGGTATCACCATTTCCATGCTTTGGGAATGGAAAATCCCTCTCAAAGTTCATACTTTAACTCACACCAACCACCAACCACCAACCACCAAGATCTCTCTTACTTTTTCTATCTTTTCTTCAAACTTTAATTCTCTGAATCAAATTATCAGTATGGAATGGAATGAGCTTTCCGTGGATCCCAATTCATTGTCTTGAATTCCGATTCCCATTCTCTGAACCTAACCTGCCAAAAAACCCCAATTACACTTTTTCACTGAAGTCATCGTATACCTAATGGTATAATTCAACAGTGAGAAATACAGACACAGATATACATGTTACACACACCAGGCAATTTTTGGGGCTAAATAAAAAAGCTTTCGTGCAAAGTACACACTGAACTACCAAATACAATGGCAATTATTGCCCAGAAAATTTATCGAAAAATCCAAATTTGCTTTGCCTGTGAACAAATGATTTTACACATGAAAAATTACCAAATAATCGAGATCAAAGAGAAGAAAAAAGAAAAATCAAATGTTTCAAACACCAGAACTGGCATGGCCCAATAAATTTAGAGGATTTGGTTCCACAATTGTTAAGTGGGGTTTTAATGAATTAAAAGGAGCACAGAGAAATTAATTTGAAACCATGGAAAATCCCAACGGAATCGCATGGTTAATTCGTTTGGAAATGCGAATCACGCCAACTTAATTGATTTAGAAAGTGGGAAAAGAATGCAAGACATGTGAGAGAATCAGCAAAATTGTATCTCAGGTAAGGCTGAGCTCACCGATCTCTGGCTCTGGCATCATCGCCGGAGCAATTCGCCGTAGGAGTCAATTATGAAGAGCCAAGTCAGTGTGTGTGTGTGTGTGTTTTTGTATGTGAGAGAGGGAAAGATACAGAAAGAGAGGGAGAGGCCACCAAGATAGTACTTGGTATTTATAAGAGAGCACATCCTAGTGATCCCACAACGTCAAATCTCATTCAAGTCCTTAAAATCCACAAGTAACTCCATCATTTACTTCTTTTTTACCTGTACTATAAATATTATTAAACTAGGGTTATTAACAAGAATAACCACATTTATTTAGAGAATATATGCATTTGACTAATACCATTGGAGTTTACAATGACCATCTTGTTTGTATATAAACATAATCCCACATGTGGTATCCGCTACATCTTGGAACTATGTTTTGATTTCTCTGAAAAATTCTGATGAGTTGAAACATGAATTAGTATTTGGCTGAATATACGGTGAGCCCAAGTTAGTTTTATGTTTTCAAGTTTCACGACTTGTTAGATTTAAAAAAAAAATCTTTGCCATGCGATTAACAAATACGAAAACTGAAGAACAAGTTTGTAATTGTTTTGATATGGTTGGATAAATTAGGTATGGCTACCACTTGTAGTTGTAATTAGGTTTTTATCTTGTTTAGTAGGAATCTTCGACAATTTGTTGTTGAATTAGAGAGCCTAGAAATACTTACGATTTTATTTGGAACAAAAACCCTAGTCTGAAATATATGAAGAACCATTTCGGAAAGGATTAACTTTTTAATTTAGTATGTATACTTAGGTTTTACTAGGTGTAGTTTGCTATGTAGTTAGGTATTGATTATATATAAGTATGCCTGATTTTCAAACAACAAAGTTTTTTGAGTTAGTTTGAAATCTGAAGCAATATTCCAAATAAGTTTGAAGGCACACCTCATCACCTTGCATTAATGTTGCTTAGAAAAAGTAAGTTACACAGATGAGAAGATAATAACTCACACCCTTGAACTTTTAGAATTAGAGTTATTTCCATTAAGTGATCGATTAATATCTAATCTATTATATCCACATTTTAATGATCTCATATTATATCATACTAACTAAATTTTTATTTATAGAGAGAATCATCGTTTGTGAAATAAAATTCGAAATTTACATCCACCAAAGCCAAAGCTTAATGTAAGGAGGTGAGGTGTTACTCAAACTGAAAGCATATAAACTCATAAAGATGAGATTAGGTCAAACTTTGATATGACTATAATTTTAGAGTAGTCAATTGTGTTATTCGATGTTTATAACTCCACAATCTAGTCAATTTTTTATGCAATAGTTTTTTTTAAACAATATAGTTGTTGAAATTTTAATTGTTTTTTTCACAACATTTACTGTTGCGTCATCTTCGTCATTAGAATCTAAAGTGGTACGTGTGGAGGTTATATGGTGAGGCCATATTGAGAACACTATGCTGGACTTCATTAATGTGTATAAGAGCAGTTGGAAGAAATATAGATCCCTTTATTAGCCTCAGAAGCCAATGAGCGTAGAAAGTTATTGGTTTATCATATGACAATGCTTTTGATTGCAATGTATAAAGACATGCAAAAGTTTATAAGTCAATGGAAATAATTGAAAAAGCAAATGTGCTGAGTCCATGTTAGAAGCAAATTTTATTGATCGACACAACCATGAATTTAAATCTACATGGAGTTTTATGAACTTCACATCGACAATGCTTGGTTGGAAGTTATGTAAGTCCCAAGTTTACTTTCAATTTAAGAGAAGATGATATGTAATGTGTTTTGAACACTAGTATTTCATTTGTTTTCATTTCCTTTAATGTCGGTTTTATTCATTTCCATACTCGTACCGAAATGACATGAAACACTATTAAGAACCTTATAAACATTTGGTAACGACGTGACATGATTAGCCTTAAACAACATCATAATAACCAAAACACTAAAAATGTTGAAAGCCATAAAAAAAATCAAAACCCTAGTCATAAATTTGAGAGTTTCTCCTAGTGCTTTTTTGTTTCTAGCTATATTTAAAACCCAAGAGTTTTCTTGAGGATTTATGTCGCAGAATTGTTTATCTTTGACATGGCCTATTTCTGAAAAGACATCATCAAGTTCGATGTACTCGTCTTTCTTGTAGTCTATGCTATGGTGACTATTGGTCAGGGCATATCCTATGAGATAGGTTATGGTGAATGGTTTATCACCTGGGTTCATAAGGTCACTTCTTTCAAAGTGATGTATAAAAGATAAAGTTTTATCTATATTTGCAGATTTCAAATCCAGAGCAAATTTTGGATAGACTGAAAACATAAATTTTTGGTAAGCAAGGTTTCCCCTAGCAGCACCTAAGATGCAGTCCTGTCTGTCAGTAATTCTGTTGTCAATTAAGGCCATTTTTATGGGAGAATTTATTCCTGCTTGGAATTGAGATTTTATCAAAAATTTTACAGCTCCGATATGGACCATTCTTATTTTGGATCTAATCTCAACTGGAATACTTTTCAAGTTATTGTTTATTTGTTCTTTAGTTAAAAGGGGTAGAAAGAAAGCTCCTATTGTGTCTTTTATGTCTACAGACATTTCTTTAGTACTAACAAAGTAGAAAATTTCATTTTTTCATTTAAGTGGATTTAAAATACTAAGTTTAGAAGGAACATTTTTGAAAATGTTTTCTTTCTTTATTTTTAAATCTGTTTTCTTAACTCGAGAGAGAAGGTCTTGTTTTATTAAGAGGTTTGCATGAAAGCCGTCTTCATCCTCAACATAAGTTAGGATTTGTTTTTCTTCTGAATCATTTTCTTCAGAATTGTTGAAAATTTCTTTATTCATTTTAAGAAATGTTAACAAGTTAAAATCCTTTTTCTGAGTTCTGAAACTGAGTTTAAAGCTTTATCAAGGTGTTCTTGATGCATTTTTTGCCTATGAAGGAGGTACTTACGTATATTAACCATGGTTGGTATATATTCGTGAGTATGTTTATTTTGTGCTTGTAGAATTCTGAAATTTATATGCACTAAATCTTTTTTATTACTTAAAAGTATTTCTTTATGTTGAGAAATCTCATTCTCTTTATTACGAATTTTTTCGAAAATTCCACTGTAAAGTGTTTCATTATAATGTAATGCCATTTTAACAGAGGCTCTGATACCAGTTTGATATGTGTGCGGTTTTGTGCGGGGTTTGTCTTTAACAAGAAGAAGGGAATAGATGCAAAAATTGTAAAGAGAAAACTCATTTAATCAATAAGTGTTTTGGAGTAGGAGTATTACTTACATAGATAGAAACTATTCAAGCCAGCCTGTGTCATCCTTTGGTCTGTGTGGTTGCTTTCCCTGTTGGCCTCATGCCTGCGGTACTGTTGACCATCGTCGACCTGACACTCTGTCACTTACAGGTTTCATGACTCTATTTTGTATGAACACTCAAGTATAACAAAACATCGATTTATTGATAAAAGAGCTCCCAAGATGGGAGTACTCTTACAATATTTTACATCTTCTCCCCTCTAAGGGAGATTTTACTCACAAGACATTAAAATTTTATAGGATAGAGAGTGTTTTTCTTGCACTTGTTATTGCGATGCCCTTAATGAAAACATAACTCTCAATTTATAGATACATTGAGAGGGTCTGATAATTGTTTGTTACGTCAGGCATGACGTTTCTCTCCACTAACGAATTACATTATTGTGGATAGCTGGAAGGCATCTCTAAAAGGTAAGACGCATTATTTTTCTGAGTGGATGGAAGTGTGCGGAGCATCTTTTATTAACATGATGAGGATTTGTCATCTTCAGAGGAGGGCCCCTCCTTTGTCTCCGAATCTTTGCTTTCGCAAAAGTGACAGAGATGTTCTTCGAAAAGTTGTTCTGCATGTCGGCAGAAGTGTTGGTGTGTAGCGTTGGAGACTTCCATGGTATTGTTCATGAATTTTTCGCCAAACATAGAGGCTTGACGAAGATCTTCTTGACTGGTGTTGTAACTCCAGCTTGTAATTATACAATGTGAGTTGGTATAATTAATCTTCTTTTTTGAACTAGAGATAATCTCAATGATTTTTTCTGAGATTCTTCTTAACCCATTGATGCGATTGGGATGAAGAATTTCTGTGAATGGTAGATCTTTATCCTCCATTGGTCGAGATTGTTCAATTTCTCTATTGGTTTTAGAAAGACCAATTTCCAGAAAATGGTATGAAGAAAGAGTTGATTCTTGAATCCATTCTGGGAGTGAAGAGATGCATCTGATGTAGATCGGGTTATCTTTTGCTTTAAGTACTTTCTTTCGAAAGTTCTTAATGGATTCTACCATGCTGCTTGGGAAGAATTTGAGTTCTTGAAGGTTGCAACTTGGGTAGATATTGTCGATTAGTCCAGCTTGAAAGGCTTGGTAGACTAAATTTGCTACTGCTCCTTCGAGGAAGTTGAACAGACTTTTTGTCTTCTTATCCGTAGTGAAAAACTTTTCATAAAGAAGATCTTCTGGGCATGCAGCTCTTGCTTTCTTCCAGATTGTTCTGAAATCTTCAAAAGAGATTTCCGGATAGTTAACCGTTTGTTGAACGTCAATTGGAACGTCAAACCTTTGGTCTCTGTGAGCTTCTTTGACTTTTTGGATTTTTGGTCGAAGAAGTGGTTGGTTAGTTTTGCTTGTATCATCTTGATAGGTGGCAAGGCTTAATCTTGCAGATGCTTCATTTCTGAATTTTTTGCAAGTAACTTTATCAGCTTTACAGAAAGTTTATGTAATTCCCCAGTCGGTATGAACATCGGCATGTGGTCCTTTGTAGATTACATAAAATCTTTCAGCTTCTTTGTTAAGAGCTTTTTTGTAATCTGGTGTAAACTCCTGCACAGATTTGTTGGTGGGTGACAAAGTTGTCATTTTACTGATTCCTTCAGTACAAGGATTGGGGTTAACCAATAAGCTAGTTTTTCCTTCAGGAAGAGGAGTAGCTGTCTCCTTTATTATGCTTTTTAGCAAAGCATCAGCTTTCAACGGATTTGTCGATTCTTTACCAGGTGCCGTTTGCACTGGAATAGCCTTTGTTTTTAAGCTTTCGCTTTCCGGTACATTGGTGACCGTTGTTACTTGTTCATACAAGTTGATTTTCTGCTCAATTGCAGATAGCTCAATGAGGAGCATTTGTTTCTTTATCCTCAAAGTGTTGAGGTCTTCCATTTTTGTAAACTCAATTTTTGTTTACTTTTCTCTCTAATCTCCCCCTCTCTTTTTTGTAGGTGAAGTTTTTTGTGAGGAATATGTTATGAGGATCATATCCTTTTATAGGGCTCGAGAGGAGCAAGTGAGATCATGGATGATGTAAGGTATACCTGAAGTCACGGGTGAGGCAGTCTGCCAGTACATTTTTATTTCCTGCGAGATGTTCAACAGTGAAAGTATATCGTGAGAACCACTCTTGCCAACGTATTAGTCGGCCTAATTTGTTGTCTCCTGCAATCTTAGTTCGGAGGAAATAAGTAAAATTTTTATTATCTGTACGAACCAGGAAATTTACTGGTGTTAAATATACAGAGAATTTTGTAATAACTCTTTTTACAACGAGTAATTCTTTTTCATTGCTATGGTAGTTTTTCTCGGCTGCCTTGAAACTGTCAGAGGTGTACCTGCAAATTTGTTCTTCGTTTTTGGGGGTTTTAGCTTTTAAAACACCTCCCCAAAATTCATCAGAAGCATCAGTTTCAATAATTAAACTGTCTTCAATGTTTGGAAGATAAAGTTTTGGAAAATTGATTAAAACTTTCTTTATCTTTTTGATGTAGTCTGTATCAGCATTTGACCAATTCCAGATGACATCTTTTTTCAATTTTACCTGTAAAGGTTTTCTCATGGCTGCAAGTTTTTCAATATTTGTTTCAGCGTAAGTTAAAACACCAAGAAATCTTTGCAGTTGTTTTTTGTCTTCTAAAACATTTGGAAAGTCATGTAAATGTTCAAGAATATGCTTTTGAGGACAATGAGTACCCTCATTTATTTCTAAACCCAAAAAATTAATTTTTGTTTTGAAAAGATGAGCTTTCTTTTTTGAAAGTATTATTCCATATTTTAAAATGGTTCTGAGAACCTGTGTAACATGAACATAGTGCTCTTGTTCATCTTTGCTGAAGACCATGATGTCATCAACGTATACAGTACAGAAACCTTCAAGTCCTCAAAGGGCGTTCTGCATGTGTCTTTGAAAAATACTAGGAGCTTGTTTAAGCCCAAAGGGTAGTACTTTCCATTGAAAGAGTCCATCAGGACATGTGAAGGCAGTGAGAAGCTGCGATTCTTCATCAAGTAGGACTTGCCAGAAATCTGACTTGCAGTCAAAACTTGAATACATATTTTTTCCTCGTAGAAGAGTCAAAAGTTCGTGCATATTGGGAAGATTATGTGAGTCTCCAATAGTTGCATCATTGATTGCTTTGTAGTTGACAACCATGCGCTTCTTTCCTCTTCTTTTTTCTGCTTCTTTATTGACAAGAAAGGCAGGGGACATATGAGGGGATTTTGATTCTATAATTAGTCTCATATCAAGTAATTCCTTGATGTGTTTGGAGAATTCTTCTCTATCTTGTAGAGAGTAAACCATAGGTTTTTCTCTAATAACCGTTTTGGGATTAATGAGCTTAATTGAAGCTTTCATCCATCCTTTGATTTTATCTGGATCAATAGGATTTTCAGAACAAACTTTTTCAAGAAGATCTTCAATCTGTTTGAACCTGGTAGTTTGAATAGAAATAATCTTTTCTTTATTAATTCCTTCTTGGGTTATATTAGTACCCGGAATTTGTTTTTCTTTAGAGCTTTTTTCTTGAGTTTCGAGAAAACCTGGTTTTCCTTTGCTATAGGCTTCTGTGACCTTTTTTATAATTACCATATCATTATTAAGATGAAAGGCAATTCTATCTATCCATTGTATAAATGGTCCATAAACTTGACAAAAGTTGTTACCAATTATGATATCAATTCCTGAATTTTGTTGGTAAATACTGGGAACGTTGAAATGTTCTCCTAAAAGTTCGAGATTAATATTTCTACAAACTTTATTTATCTTTATGGTTTCACCATTTGCAATAGTGACACTAATTTCGTTGGGAGCATTTTCCCAGAGCTCATTCGGAATGATGAATTTGCTTGCAAGACATAAAGATGCACCTGTGTCTACAAAACAATGTACTCTAAATTTCTTATATCCTTTAAAGTTAAGGAAGGCAGAAACATAAATAGAGTTTGGATTAGTGAGATTCATGATAAGGGAATCATTAATCTTCTGGAGGTTTGCGCAAAAATGGTTAAACTCCTCCTCCCTAAAAAGTGGAGCATGTATGAGACTAGTCTGAGTCATCCGTGGTTGATTCGTTTTCATCAGAATTTGATGAAGAATCAGTTTCAACATGAAATGTAAAGACATGTTGTATACCTTCATACTCCTCTTCAAGAGCTTCATAACCTCCATTATTAGCGGTTTGTAAAACCTTGACTTTGTCAGGGTATTTTTTTTTCTATTTGGACATTCATTGGCATAGTGTCCTTCATTGCAGATCCAACATCTACATTTTTTCTTTCCTTGTGGACAGGAAGTAGTCTTCTTAGGTGATTCTTTTGAAGGTTTTTTGAAGTATTTTCCTGGTGAAAATTTTCTTCTTTCTTTTTCCAGAAAGATTTGTATTTCTTTTTGTTTTTATATTTTTTCTTAGTATAAGTTTTCCTTCCAATATCAAAGTTTTTGAAATCAGAGAGAACGCTACAACAATCTTTACTTATTGTTTTGATACCAGTTTGATATGTGTGTGCGGTTTTGTGCGGGGTTTGTCTTTAACAAGAAGAAGGGAATAGATGCAAAAATTGTAAAGAGAAAAACTCATTTAATCAATAAGTGTTTTGGAGTAGGAGTATTACTTAGATAGAAACTATTCAAGCCAGCCTGTGTCATCCTTTGGTCTGTGTGGTTGCTTTCCCTGTTGGCCTCATGCCTGCGGTACTGTTGACCATCGTCGACCTGACACTCTGTCACTTACAGGTTTCATGACTCTATTTTGTATGAACACTCAAGTATAACAAAACATGGATTTATTGATAAAAGAGCTCCCAAGATGGGAGTACTCTTACAATATTTTACATCTTCTCCCCTCTAAGGGAGATTTTACTCACAAGACATTAAAATTTTATAGGATAGAGAGTGTTTTTCTTGCACTTATTATTGCGATGCCCTTAATGAAAACATAATTCTCAATTTATAGATACATTCAGAGGGTCTGATAATTGTTTGTTACGTCAGGCATGACGTTTCTCTCCACTAACGAATTACATTATTGTGGATAGCTGGAAGGCATCTCTAAAAGGTAAGACGCATTATTTTTCTGAGTGGATGGAAGTGTGCGGAGCATCTTTTATTAAGATGATGAGGATTTGTCATCTTCAGAGGAGGGCCCCTCCTTTGTCTCCGAATCTTTGCTTTCGCAAAAGTGACAGAGATGTTCTTCGAAAAGTTGTTCTGCATGTCGGCAGAAGTGTTGGTGTGTAGCGTTGGAGACTTCCATGGTATTGTTCATGAATTTTTCGCCAAACATAGAGGCTTGACGAAGATCTTCTTGACTGGTGTTGTTGTAACTCCAGCTTGTAATTATACAATGTGAGTTGGTATAATTAATCTTCTTTTTTGAACCAGAGATAATCTCAATGATTTTTTCTGAGATTCTTCTTAACCCATTGATGCGATTGGGATGAAGAATTTCTGTGAATGGTAGATCTTTATCCTCCATTGGTCGAGATTGTTCAATTTCTCTATTGGTTTTAGAAAGACCAATTTCCAGAAAATGGTATGAAGAAAGAGTTGATTCTTGAATCCATTCTGGGAGTGAAGAGATGCATCTGATGTAGATCGGGTTATCTTTTGCTTTAAGTACTTTCTTTCGAAAGTTCTTAATGGATTCTACCATGCTGCTTGGGAAGAATTTGAGTTCTTGAAGGTTGCAACTTGGGTAGATATTGTCGATTAGTCCAGCTTGAAAGGCTTGGTAGACTAAATTTGCATCTGCTCCTTCGAGGAAGTTGAACAGACTTTTTGTCTTCTTATCCGTAGTGAAAAACTTTTCATAAATAAGATCTTCTGGGCATGCAGCTCTTGCTTTCTTCCAGATTGTTCTGAAATCTTCAAAAGAGATTTCAGGATAGTTAACCGTTTGTTGAACGTCAATTGGAACGTCAAACCTTTGGTCTCTGTGAGCTTCTTTGACTTTTTGGATTTTTGGTCGAAGAAGTGGTTGGTTAGTTTTGCTTGTATCATCTTGATAGGTGGCAAGGCTTAATCTTGCAGATGCTTCATTTCTGAATTTTTTGCAAGTAACTTTATCAGCTTTACAGAAAGTTTCTGTAATTCCCCAGTCAGTATGAACACCGGCATGTGGTCCTTTGTAGATTACATAAAATCTTTCAGCTTCTTTGTTAAGAGCTTTTTTGTAATCTGGTGTAAACTCCTGCACAGATTTGTTGGTGGGTGACAAAGTTGTCATTTTACTGATTCCTTCAGTACAAGGATTGGGGTTAACCAATAAGCTAGTTTTTCCTTCAGGAAGAGGAGTAGCTGTCTCCTTTATTATGCTTTTTAGCAAAGCATCAGCTTTCAACGGATTTGTCGATTCTTTACCAGGTGCCGTTTGCACTGGAATAGCCTTTGTTTTTAAGCTTTCGCTTTCCGGTACATTGGTGACCGTTGTTACTTGTTCATACAAGTTGATTTTCTGCTCAATTGCAGATAGCTCAATGAGGAGCATTTGTTTCTTTATCCTCAAAGTGTTGAGGTCTTCCATTTTTGTAAACTCAATTTTTGTTTACTTTTCTCTCTAATCTCCCCCTTCTTTTTTGTAGGTGAAGTTTTTGTGAGGAAATATGTCATGAGGATCATATCCTTTTATAGGGCTCGAGAGGAGCAAGTGAGATCATGGATGATGTAAGATATACCTGAAGTCACGGGTGAGGCAGTCTGCCAGTACATTTTTATTTCCTGCGAGATGTTCAACAGTGAAAGTATATCGTGAGAACCACCTTGCCAACGTATTAGTCGGCCTAATTTGTTGTCTCCTGCAATCTTAGTTCGGAGGAAATAAGTAAAATTTTTATTATCTGTACGAACCAGGAAATTTACTGGTGTTAAATATACAGAGAATTTTGTAATAACTCTTTTTACACAGCGAGTAATTCTTTTTCATTGCTATGGTAGTTTTTCTCGGCTGCCTTGAAACTGCCAGAGGTGTACCTGCAAATTTGTTCTTCGTTTTTGGGGGTTTTAGCTTTTAAAACACCTCCCCAAAATTCATCAGAAGCATCAGTTTCAATAATTAAACTGTCTTCAATGTTTGGAAGATAAAGTTTTGGAAAATTGATTAAAACTTTCTTTATCTTTTTGATGTAGTCTGTATCAGCATTTGACCAATTCCAGATGACATCTTTTTTCAATTTTACCTGTAAAGGTTTTCTCATGGCTGCAAGTTTTTCAATATATGTTTCAGCGAAAGTTAAAACACCAAGAAATCTTTGCAGTTGTTTTTTGTCTTCTAAAACATTTGGAAAGTCATGTAAATGTTCAAGAATATGCTTTTGAGGACAATGAGTACCCTCATTTATTTCTAAACCCAAAAAATTAATTTTTGTTTTGAAAAGATGAGCTTTCTTTTTTAAAGTATTATTCCATATTTTAAAATGGTTCTGAGAACCTGTGTAACATGAACATAGTGCTCTTGTTCATCTTTGCTGAAGACCATGATGTCATCAACGTATACAGTACAGAAACCTTCAAGTCCTCGAAGGGCGTTCTGCATGTGTCTTTGAAAAATACTAGGAGCTTGTTTAAGCCCAAAGGGTAGTACTTTCCATTGAAAGAGTCCATCAGGACATGTGAAGGCAGTGAGAAGCTGCGATTCTTCATCAAGTAGGACTTGCCAGAAACCTGACTTGCAGTCAAAACTTGAATACATATTTTTTTCCTCGTAGAAGAGTCAAAAGTTCGTGCATATTGGGAAGATTATGTGAGTCTCCAATAGTTGCATCATTGATTGCTTTGTAGTTGACAACCATGCGCTTCTTTCCTCTTTTTTTTCTGCTTCTTTATTGACAAGAAAGGCAGGGGACATATGAGGGGATTTTGATTCTATAATTAGTCTCATATCAAGTAATTCCTTGATTTGTTTGGAGAATTCTTCTCTATCTTGTAGAGAGTAAACCATAGGTTTTTCTCTAATAACCGTTTTGGGATTAATGAGCTTAATTGAAGCTTTCATCCATCCTTTGGTTTTATCTGGATCAATAGGATTTTCAGAACAAACTTTTTCAAGAAGATCTTCAATCTGTTTGAACCTGGTAGTTTGAATAGAAATAATCCTTTCTTTATTAATTCCTTCTTGGGTTATATTAGTACCCGGAATTTGTTTTTCTTTAGAGCCTTTTTCTTGAGTTTCAGAAAACCTGGTTTTCCTTTGCTATAGGCTTCTGTAACCTTTTTTATAATTACCATATCATTATTAAGATGAAAGGCAATTCTATCTATCCATTGTATAAATGGTCCATAAACTTGACAAAAGTTGTTACCAATTATGATATCAATTCCTGAATTTTGTTGGTAAATAGTGGGAACGTTGAAATGTTCTCCTGAAAGTTCGAGATTAATATTTCTACAAACTTTATTTATCTTTATGGTTTCACCATTTGCAATAGTGGCACTAATTTCTTTGGGAGCATTTTCCCAGAGCTCATCCGGAATGATGAATTTGCTTGCAAGACATAAAGATGCACCTGTGTCTACAAAACAATGTACTCTAAATTTCTTATATCCTTTAAAGTTAAGGAAGAGCAGAAACATAAATAGAGTTTGGATTAGTGAGATTCATGATAAGGGAATCATTAATCTTCTGGAGGTTTGCGCAAAAATGGTTAAACTCCTCCTCCCTAAAAAGTGGAGCCTGTATGAGACTAGTCTGAGTCATCCGTGGTTGATTCGTTTTCATCAGAATTTGATGAAGAATCAGTTTCAACATGAAATGTAAAGACATGTTGTATACCTTCATACTCCTCTTCAAGAGCTTCATAACCTCCATTATTAGCGGTTTGTAAAACCTTGACTTTGTCAGGGTATTTTTTTCTATTTGGACATTCATTGGCATAGTGTCCTTCTTCATTGCAGATCCAACATCTACATTTTTTTTCCTTGTGGACAGGAAGTAGTCTTCTTAGGTGATTCTTTTGAAGGTTTTTTGAAGTATTTTCCTGGTGAAAATTTTCTTCTTTTCTTTTTCCAGAAAGATTTGTATTTCTTTTTGTTTTTATATTTTTTCTTAGTATAAGTTTTCCTTCCAATATCAAAGTTTTTGAAATCAGAGAGAATGCTACAACAATCTTTACTTATTGTTTTGAGTTTTGTTGTTTATATCTGTCTTGACAGATTCTATCAATTTCTTCCTTTGCAATTTTTGTTGCATAAGAAAGACTGGTTTGCTGGATTTCTCCAGTAGCTTCTTTTTTCCATCTTTCAGTACAGATTTCTCCAATAATTGGAATTTTCATTAGATAAGCAGATATCCATTGTGCATATTCACTTCTTTGGGAATATCATATAGATATGATTCATACATACATGTGTATTTGTCGAGAAGACTAATATCATGTAATTGGAGTTTTGTCATTGAAACTCTTGCTACGTCAACTTTCTTATTAATGGTAAAGTCTTTATTAGAAATATAATCAAGACCTAAGAAAGTAGTGTATATGACATTTATGAGATTATCAAAAAGATCTGAACCATGCAAATCTTCATTCCAATTATTGTTTCTTAGGAACTTTTGCACAATTCCATCAGTTTTGTGTTCTAAAAGTAGAAGAACATTTTTTGCTTTTTCAAATTCATCTGGGTTTGTCTGTAAGATTAGTGAAATCTCAGTAACCCATTTTTCTACAACTCTTTCTCTGAGTTTTAGATCTTGGATACAATCAATATTGAGTATATTGATCGTATTGGGTCCTTTGCTACTATCTGGAATACCATTGTGTACAGGCATTTTGAACTCATATTTCTTTTTATTGCCTCTTCTTGTGGCTGTATAAGAAGATTCTGCTTCATCATCTTCCATATCTGAATATTCGAACTTAACAGTCTTTGTATTAGTTTTAAAGTTATCTTCTTGTTCTGATTCAGTATCAGGTTCATCTATTTTAGTCATTCTAAAATATTGATCAAAAAGTTTGGGTTCTTTTTGATACAATTCTTCGCATTCTTTAGTTTCTAAAGATAAAAGCTGAATAAGTTTTTGGTCAGCCTTATCATAATCTTCATATTGAAGGTTAAAGAAATATTTCTCAAGTTTCTCAGAGATTGTTTCTTTCATTTTTGCTCTTTTTTGAAAATATCAATTTTCTGGGAGTCTTTTGAGCTTCCTAAGTCAGGGTTTCCAATACTAGGATTGGGAGGTGAGTATTTCTTAAGACCTGAATATTTTCCAGGTTTGGTTTTTTGCTCTATGATGGAAATATTCTTGATGTGTTCAAGAATGTCTTTATTACAAGGGCAAGAGTCAATCTTTTCAGATAACTCTTTAGTAATGTCTGCAATAATTTTTGCAGATGCTACTTCCAACTGTGTAGTGGTTACGTATTTATTGACTGTTAAGTCAAAGTTTATGATCAGCCCATCTATTTTTTCATTGAGGAGGTTGATTGATCTATTGAGCTCGGGAATCGAGGTCATCCTATTAGTTGTTTTAACTGATCTTGTATATTAGTGATCTTAAGGTTGTTTTCCTTAAGAGTGCCTTCAATATTTGCCTTTTTGGCGACTTCTTCAACAAAATGGTTGTTTTTTAAAGAGTTTTCTAAAAGAATAGAATGTTTGTCAATAGACTGGGTTAGCTTGATAGTTAATTTATTTTGCCTTTCAATAACTTCGAAGAATTTTTCAAAATCATTTTTATCAAGATTGTTTTTAACCAAAAAGGCTAAATCGTTTTTAAATTGGTTAAAAGGTATTTTATTTTTTGAAATATCTTTTGAAATACCAAGGTAATGGCTTATTTTGAAGTTTTTAAGAGACATCTTGCAATGATCTGGTTGAGATTATTGCAATGATTTACAATTGTTTGAATACCAGCTTTTCCAGAAGTAGAGAAAATGTATTCTTTCTTTTCAGTATTGTCGTCAAGAGTTTTAATTTTTACTGTTTTACCTTTTTTATAAAAATGAGGAAAATCTATTTTATTACTCATTTATAACTTCAGAGATTTGTTTGATATTCTGACGTAGACTATCAATTTTTAAAGACATGTTTCTTATCAAGTTACTATCTTTTCTTTCTGAGCTTTCTCCTATATGGAGTGAATCCATAGAAATTCTTGGTCTAAGAGTTTCTCCTAGAGCTTTTTGTTTCTAGCTATATTTAAAACCCAAGAGTTTTCTTGAGGATTTATGTCGCAGAATTGTTTATCTTTGACATGGCCTATTTCTGAAAAGACATCATCAAGTTCGATGTACTCGTCTTTCTTGTAGTCTATGCTATGGTGACTATTGGTCAGGGCATATCCTATGAGATAGGTTATGGTGAATGGTTTATCACCTGGGTTCATAAGGTCACTTCTTTCAAAGTGATGTATAAAAGATAAAGTTTTATCTATATTTGCAGATTTCAAATCCAGAGCAAATTTGGATAGACTGAAAACATAAAATTTTTGGTAAGCAAGGTTTCCCCTAGCAGCACCTAAGATGCAGTCCTGTCTGTCAGTAATTCTGTTGTCAATTAAGGCCATTTTTATGGGAGAATTTATTCCTGCTTGGAATTGGGATTTTATCAAAATTTTTACAGCTCCGATATGGACCATTCTTATTTTTGATCTAATCTCAACTGGAATACTTTTCAAGTTATTGTTTATTTGTTCTTTAGTTAAAAGGGGTAGAAAGACAGCTCCTATTGTGTCTTTTATGTCTACAGACATTTCTTTAGTACTAACAAAGTAGAAAATTTCATTTTTTCTTTTAAGTGGATTTAAAATACTAAGTTTAGAAGGAACATTTTTAAAATGTTTTCTTTCTTTATTTTTAAATCTGTTTTCTTAACTCGAGAGAGAAGGTCTTGTTTTATTAAGAGGTTTGCATGAAAGCCGTCTTCATCCTCAACATAAGTTAGGATTTGTTTTTCTTCTGAATCATTTTCTTCAGAATTGTTGAAAATTTCTTTATTCATTTTAAGAAATGTTAACAAGTTAAAATCCTTTTTCTGAGTTCTGAAACTGAGTTTAAAGCTTTATCAAGGTGTTCTTGATGCATTTTTTTGCCTATGAAGGAGGTACTTACGTATATTAACCATGGTTGGTATATATTCGTGAGTATGTTTATTTTGTGCTTGTAGAATTCTGAAATTTATATGCACTAAATCTTTTTTATTACTTAAAAGTATTTCTTTATGTTGAGAAATCTCATTCTCTTTATTACGAATTTTTCGAAAATTCCACTGTAAAGTGTTTCATTATAATGTAATGCCATTTTAACAAAGGCTCTGATACCAGTTTGATATGTGTGTGCGGTTTTGTGCGGGGTTTGTCTTTAACAAGAAGAAGGGAATAGATGCAAAAATTGTAAAGAGAAAACCCATTAATCAATAAGTGTTTTGGAGTAGGAGTATTACTTACATAGATAGAAACTATTCAAGCCAGCCTGTGTCATCCTTTGGTCTGTGTGGTTGCTTTCCCTGTTGGCCTCATGCCTGCGGTACTGTTGACCATCGTCGACCTGACACTCTGTCACTTACAGGTTTCATGACTCTATTTTGTATGAACACTCAAGTATAACAAACATGGATTTATTGATAAAAGAGCTCCCAAGATGGGAGTACTCTTACAATATTTTACATCTTCTCCCCTCTAAGGGAGATTTTACTCACAAGACATTAAAAATTTATAAGATAGAGAGTGTTTTTTTTTGCACTCGTTATTGCGATGCCCTTAATGAAAACATAACTCTCAATTTATAGATACATTGAGAGGGTCTGATAATTGTTTGTTACGTCAGGCATGACGTTTCTCTCCACTAACGAATTACATTATTGTGGATAGCTGGAAGGCATCTCTAAAAAGGTAAGACGCATTATTTTTCTGAGTGGATGGAAGTGTGCGGAGCATCTTTTATTAAGATGATGAGGATTTGTCATCTTCAGAGGAGGGCCCCTCCTTTGTCTCCGAATCTTTGCTTTCGCAAAAGTGACAGAGATGTTCTTCGAAAAGTTGTTCTGCATGTCGGCAGAAGTGTTGGTGTGTAGCGTTGGAGACTTCCATGGTATTGTTCATGAATTTTTCGCCAAACATAGAGGCTTGACGAAGATCTTCTTGACTGGTGTTGTTGTAACTCCAGCTTGTAATTATACAATGTGAGTTGGTATAATTAATTCTTTTTTGAACCAGAGATAATCTCAATGATTTTTTCTGAGATTCTTCTTAACCCATTGATGCGATTGGGATGAAGAATTTCTGTGAATGGTAGATCTTTATCCTCCATTGGTCGAGATTGTTCAATTTCTCTATTGGTTTTAGAAAGACCAATTTCCAGAAAATGGTATGAAGAAAGAGTTGATTCTTGAATCCATTCTGGGAGTGAAGAGATGCATCTGATGTAGATCGGGTTATCTTTTGCTTTAAGTACTTTCTTTCGAAAGTTCTTAATGGATTCTACCATGCTGCTTGGGAAGAATTTGAGTTCTTGAAGGTTGCAACTTGGGTAGATATTGTCGATTAGTCCAGCTTGAAAGGCTTGGTAGACTAAATTTGCATCTGCTCCTTCGAGGAAGTTGAACAGACTTTTTGTCTTCTTATCCGTAGTGAAAAACTTTTCATAAATAAGATCTTCTGGGCATGCAGCTCTTGCTTTCTTCCAGATTGTTCTGAAATCTTCAAAAGAGATTTCAGGATAGTTAACCGTTTGTTGAACGTCAATTGGAACGTCAAACCTTTGGTCTCTGTGAGCTTCTTTGACTTTTTGGATTTTTGGTCGAAGAAGTGGTTGGTTAGTTTTGCTTGTATCATCTTGATAGGTGGCAAGGCTTAATCTTGCAGATGCTTCATTTCTGAATTTTTTGCAAGTAACTTTATCAGCTTTACAGAAAGTTTCTGTAATTCCCCAGTCAGTATGAACACCGGCATGTGGTCCTTTGTAGATTACATAAAATCTTTCAGCTTCTTTGTTAAGAGCTTTTTTGTAATCTGGTGTAAACTCCTGCACAGATTTGTTGGTGGGTGACAAAGTTGTCATTTTACTGATTCCTTCAGTACAAGGATTGGGTTAACCAATAAGCCAGTTTTTCCTTCAGGAAGAGGAGTAGCTGTCTCCTTTATTATGCTTTTTAGCAAAGCATCAGCTTTCAACGGATTTGTCGATTCTTTACCAGGTGCCGTTTGCACTGGAATAGCCTTTGTTTTTAAGCTTTCGCTTTCCGGTACATTGGTGACCGTTGTTACTTGTTCATACAAGTTGATTTTCTGCTCAATTGCAGATAGCTCAATGAGGAGCATTTGTTTCTTTATCCTCAAAGTGTTGAGGTCTTCCATTTTTGTAAACTCAATTTTTGTTTACTTTTCTCTCTAATCTCCCCCTCTCTTTTTTGTAGGTGAAGTTTTTTGTGAGGAATATGTCATGAGGATCATATCCTTTTATAGGGCTCGAGAGGAGCAAGTGAGATCATGGATGATGTAAGGTATACCTGAAGTCACGGGTGAGGCAGTCTGCCAGTACATTTTTATTTCCTGCGAGATGTTCAACAGTGAAAGTATATCGTGAGAACCACTCTTGCCAACGTATTAGTCGGCCTAATTTGTTGTCTCCTGCAATCTTAGTTCGGAGGAAATAAGTAAAATTTTTATTATCTGTACGAACCAGGAAATTTACTGGTGTTAAATATACAGAGAATTTTGTAATAACTCTTTTTACAGCGAGTAATTCTTTTCATTGCTATGGTAGTTTTTCTCGGCTGCCTTGAAACTGCCAGAGGTGTACCTGCAAATTTGTTCTTCGTTTTTGGGGGTTTTAGCTTTTAAAACACCTCCCCAAAATTCATCAGAAGCATCAGTTTCAATAATTAAACTGTCTTCAATGTTTGGAAGATAAAGTTTTGGAAAATTGATTAAAACTTTCTTTATCTTTTTGATGTAGTCTGTATCAGCATTTGACCAATTCCAGATGACATCTTTTTTCAATTTTACCTGTAAAGGTTTCTCATGGCTGCAAGTTTTTCAATATATGTTTCAGCATAAGTTAAAACACCAAGAAATCTTTGCAGTTGTTTTTTGTCTTCTAAAACATTTGGAAAGTCATGTAAATGTTCAAGAATATGCTTTTGAGGACAATGAGTACCCTCATTTATTTCTAAACCCAAAAAATTAATTTTTGTTTTGAAAAGATGAGCTTTCTTTTTTGAAAGTATTATTCCATATTTTAAAATGGTTCTGAGAACCTGTGTAACATGAACATAGTGCTCTTGTTCATTTTGCTGAAGACCATGATGTCATCAACGTATACAGTACAGAAACCTTCAAGTCCTCGAAGGGCGTTCTGCATGTGTCTTTGAAAAATACTAGGAGCTTGTTTAAGCCCAAAGGGTAGTACTTTCCATTGAAAGAGTCCATCAGGACATGTGAAGGCAGTGAGAAGCTGCGATTCTTCATCAAGTAGGACTTGCCAGAAACCTGACTTGCAGTCAAAACTTGAATACATATTTTTTCCTCGTAGAAGAGTCAAAAGTTCGTGCATATTGGGAAGATTATGTGAGTCTCCAATAGTTGCATCATTGATTGCTTTGTAGTTGACAACCATGCGCTTCTTTCCTCTTCTTTTTTCTGCTTCTTTATTGACAAGAAAGGCAGGGGACATATGAGGGGATTTTGATTCTATAATTAGTCTCATATCAAGTAATTCCTTGATTTGTTTGGAGAATTCTTCTCTATCTTGTAGAGAGTAAACCATAGGTTTTTCTCTAATAACCGTTTTGGGATTAATGAGCTTAATTGAAGCTTTCATCCATCCTTTGGTTTATCTGGATCAATAGGATTTTCAGAACAAACTTTTTCAAGAAGATCTTCAATCTGTTTGAACCTGGTAGTTTGAATAGAAATAATCCTTTCTTTATTAATTCCTTCTTGGGTTATATTAGTACCCGGAATTTGTTTTTCTTTAGAGCCTTTTTCTTGAGTTTCAAGAAAACCTGGTTTTCCTTTGCTATAGGCTTCTGTAACCTTTTTTATAATTACCATATCATTATTAAGATGAAAGGCAATTCTATCTATCCATTGTATAAATGGTCCATAAACTTGACAAAAGTTGTTACCAATTATGATATCAATTCCTGAATTTTGTTGGTAAATAGTGGGAACGTTGAAATGTTCTCCTGAAAGTTCGAGATTAATATTTCTACAAACTTTATTTATCTTTATGGTTTCACCATTTGCAATAGTGGCACTAATTTCTTTGGGAGCATTTTCCCAGAGCTCATCCGGAATGATGAATTTGCTTGCAAGACATAAAGATGCACCTGTGTCTACAAAACAATGTACTCTAAATTTCTTATATCCTTTAAAGTTAAGGAAGGCAGAAACATAAATAGAGTTTGGATTAGTGAGATTCATGATAAGGGAATCATTAATCTTCTGGAGGTTTGCGCAAAAATGGTTTAAACTCCTCCTCCCTAAAAAGTGGAGCCTGTATGAGACTAGTCTGAGTCATCCGTGGTTGATTCGTTTTCATCAGAATTTGATGAAGAATCAGTTTCAACATGAAATGTAAAGACATGTTGTATACCTTCATACTCCTCTTCAAGAGCTTCATAACCTCCATTATTAGCGGTTTGTAAAACCTTGACTTTGTCAGGGTATTTTTTTCTATTTGGACATTCATTGGCATAGTGTCCTTCTTCATTGCAGATCCAACATCTACATTTTTTCTTTCCTTGTGGACAGGAAGTAGTCTTCTTAGGTGATTCTTTTGAAGGTTTTTTGAAGTATTTTCCTGGTGAAAATTTCTTCTTTTCTTTTTCCAGAAAGATTTGTATTTCTTTTTGTTTTTATATTTTTTCTTAGTATAAGTTTTCCTTCCAATATCAAAGTTTTTGAAATCAGAGAGAATGCTACAACAATCTTTACTTATTGTTTTGAGTTTTGTTGTTTATATCTGTCTTGACAGATTCTATCAATTTCTTCCTTTGCAATTTTTGTTGCATAAGAAAGACTGGTTTGCTGGATTTCTCCAGTAGCTTCTTTTTTCCATCTTTCAGTACAGATTTCTCCAATAATTGGAATTTTCATTAGATAAGCAGATATCCATTGTGCATATTCACTTCTCTGGGGAATATCATATAGATATGATTCATACATACATGTGTATTTGTCGAGAAGACTAATATCATGTAATTGGAGTTTTGTCATTGAAACTCTTGCTACGTCAACTTTCTTATTAATGGTAAAGTCTTTATTAGAAATATAATCAAGACCTAAGAAAGTAGTGTATATGACATTTATGAGATTATCAAAAAGATCTGAACCATGCAAATCTTCATTCCAATTATTGTTTCTTAGGAACTTTTGCACAATTCCATCAGTTTTGTGTTCTAAAAGTAGAAGAACATTTTTTGCTTTTTCAAATTCATCTGGGTTGTCTGTAAGATTTAGTGAAATCTCAGTAACCCATTTTTCTACAACTCTTTCTCTGAGTTTTAGATCTTGGATACAATCAATATTGAGTATATTGATCGTATTGGGTCCTTTGCTACTATCTGGAATACCATTGTGTACAGGCATTTTGAACTCATATTTCTTTTTATTGCCTCTTCTTGTGGCTGTATAAGAAGATTCTGCTTCATCATCTTCCATATCTGAATATTCGAACTTAACAGTCTTTGTATTAGTTTTAAAGTTATCTTCTTGTTCTGATTCAGTATCAGGTTCATCTATTTTAGTCATTCTAAAATATTGATCAAAAAGTTTGGGTTCTTTTTGATACAATTCTTCGCATTCTTTAGTTTCTAAAGATAAAAGCTGAATAAGTTTTTGGTCAGCCTTATCATAATCTTCATATTGAAGGTTAAAGAATATTTCTCAAGTTTCTCAGAGATTGTTTCTTTCATTTTTGCTTTTTTGAAAATATCAATTTTCTGGGAGTCTTTTGAGCTTCCTAAGTCAGGGTTTCCAATACTAGGATTGGGAGGTGAGTATTTCTTAAGACCTGAATATTTTCCAGGTTTGGTTTTTTGCTCTATGATGGAAATATTCTTGATGTGTTCAAGAATGTCTTTATTACAAGGGCAAGAGTCAATCTTTTCAGATAACTCTTTAGTAATGTCTGCAATAATTTTTGCAGATGCTACTTCCAACTGTGTGTAGTGGTTACGTATTTATTGACTGTTAAGTCAAAGTTTATGATCAGCCCATCTATTTTTTCATTAAGGAGGTTGATTGATCTATTGAGCTCGGGAATCGAGGTCATCCTATTAGTTGTTTTAACTGATCTTGTATATTAGTGATCTTAAGGTTGTTTTCCTTAAGAGTGCCTTCAATATTTGCCTTTTTGGCGACTTCTTCAACAAAATGGTTGTTTTTTAAAGAGTTTTCTAAAGAATAGAATGTTTGTCAATAGACTGGGTTAACTTGATAGTTAATTTTTTTGCCTTTCAATAACTTCGAAGAATTTTTCAAAATCATTTTTTCAAGATTGTTTTTAACCAAAAAGGCTAAATTTTTTTTAAATTGGTTAAAAGGTTATTTTATTTTTGAAATATCTTTTGAAATAGCCAAGGTAATGGCTTATTTTTGAAGTTTTTAAAGACATCTTGCAATGATCTGGTTGAGATTATTGCAATGATTTACAATTGTTTGAATACCAGCTTTTCCAGAAGTAGAGAAAATGTATTTTTCTTTTCAGTATTGTCGTCAAGAGTTTTAATTTTACTGTTTTACCTTTTTTATAAAAATGAGGGAAAATCTATTTTATTACTCATTTATAACTTCAGAGATTTGTTTGATATTCTGACGTAGACTATCAATTTTTAAAGACATGTTTCTTATCAAGTTACTATCTTTTTCTTCTGAGCTTTCTCCTATATGGAGTGAATCCATAGAAATTCTTGGTCTAAGAGTTTCTCCTAGAGCTTTTTGTTTCTAGCTATATTTAAAACCCAAGAGTTTCTTGAGGATTTATGTCGCAGAATTGTTTATCTTTGACATGGCCTATTTCTGAAAAGACATCATCAAGTTCGATGTACTCGTCTTCTTGTAGTCTATCTATGGTGACTATTGGTTAGGGGCATATCCTATGAGATAGGTTATGGTGAATGGTTTTTCACCTGGGTTCATAAGGTCACTTCTTTCAAAGTGATGTATAAAAGATAAAGTTTTATCTATATTTTGCAGATTTCAAATCCAGAGCAAATTTTGGATAGACTGAAAACATAAATTTTTGGTAAGCAAGGTTTCCCTAGCAGCACCTAAGATGCAGTCCT